GTAGTATATATATATATATATATATATATATATATATATATATATATATATATATATATATATATATGTAAAATAACGTGATGCAGATATATTATTATTTGTAAATATGACGGTGTCAGATTCTGTGTTACTGGGGCAAAGCAATGGCGTTATAATTTCGGCGGTCCCGTTCCAAAATTGCGCGGCGCTTCGTAATTTGTATCGTCATCCGGATGGCGAGTAAGCGACGGATTAAGGGATGGTTGCGCGGAATCGGTGCAGTGCCGTCACTCGTTGACGATCGAACGCGAAATGCAACAATATCTCGTGACGATCAATGCGAGCGTGATTTCGGTCAACGACGGGCGGCACGCATATTGCAAGAAGGCAGTCGATGCGCGAGAAAAATGTCGATCGGAAAAAGGAAAATGAACAAATGCAGCACGTTGTCCGCGAAGCGCATTATATTGTTTCCTCTTTAGCAATATTCTTTGTGGACCACGTCGCCGATTATGTAGCCTTAAATAGCGAAAGTGAAAGTGGACGTGTGTAATTGGAATTAGCGTAACGGAAACGGGAATGTAAAAGATGGCGGCCGCGAGCTGTAATTGTTGGTTGCTGCGACAACTGTATGTGTATCGAAATTCGTCAATCCGTGGCTCAATCGTACTAATCAATCAATTAGCGCCACATACACACAGTCTTGGTCAATTCTATTCTTCTCTAAGAAAATAAAACAGCTTGGCGGGCGACGTAAGAATCTAAAGAACAAAAAAAAAAAGGCAAATGCGATAGTCGAAGACTCGATAGCTGACTATCCGATGACTATCTGCTTCGTGAGCGTTATGCATTTCCAATGAGGGCACGAAAACGTCTACTGATGACGCGCGCGGCTGGACGCTGCGCGCTACGATTAAGATTTAGGTGGTGAGCGAATCATTATTGTCGTTACGCTGTTATTCGATAAACAATCTCCTCGCATTGTCGAATTTTATTGAAGGTGAATAGTATCGTTGTAACAATTAATTATTATTGTCATCGTGTGACGGGCGACTGTCGTGGCGATCATTGTTAGAAGTTATTCTACTGAAAGTAGCGGCTTGAGTGGATTCGCAACACTGGTGTTGGACGGAGTTCACACAAAATTCTGCACAAAATCTCGAAAGTTCACATTCGCGACGGAATCGTGGCGATCATTGAATATTCATGCAACACGAGCGCGACTTTGTTTTTCTCTCTACGAAACTCATTCGAATTTTATACCCTAATTTCACGACGCGTTTTAACCCTTAGAAGTTCTTGTTGCGATTTTTTTTTTGTTTTTTTGTTGGGAGAAAAAAGTCTAATTTTACGACAAACACTGCGTAGTGCGTCTTTCACTCGGTCGAGAGCGTTAAAAAGCGAATGCGCAAGAATCCTCGTAAGGTGAAATTGTATAGAGCACGCGCTTGCAACCTCACGTCACCATCTGTCACGTATGAACCGTGTTCGACGATTAGTTTTATACAGCGGGCTGCGAAATAATGTCAGGTATACTTTCTCCTTGGATGGTTTCATCGACGGGATCAGAAACGTTCGGCGTTGTTATCGTTTCATCCGATGTGTTGTGTACATATATATTCGTTGTATTTATTGAAATTTTAAGAATATTGAAAGCGAGAGAGAGAGAGAGAGAGAGAGAGAGAGAGAGAGAAGAGAGAGAGAGGCGTATGTGTAACTTGGCAGTTGCTCGAAGTACGTGGGACGCGTGGACGTTCCCCCAAGACGCGAGTTTATTTCGGTTCGGATTGATGATGTCTCGATGAAATCCTCCAAACAAAACAAAACAAAATCCGTAGCATAATCTTTCGGAGCTGGGCCAGTGTGCACTATCTTATCGCTCTTCCAATCGCGGAGAGGAAAGGAAATGTTCCATTATCTTGTATCTATATCATGGTTCCACCATGGTTCCATAGTGGATCGTGCCTTTCTATACTTTTTCTCAACAGTTTCGTTGATTCTTCGCCATTTATCGGAAAATTTGATTCCTTTCCTAGGCAAATTATAGGAACGCGGAGTGATCTCACGTCCGTCGTACTGGCCATTGTAGATTTAACGTTCAGTTCGCGACCGAGTCGAGGCCCGATCCCTGTAGATATCTTAATTCTTACGGAACACGCGCGCGCGCGACTCCTCGCGCGATTCAGTTTCTCAACTAAATCGCGCAGAACGCGATAAAGTTGTATCGATTTCCACGCGGCTTTCCGACGCGAGATCGCTCCGCCGTTTTAGAGGAAATTTGAGAAGCAAGAGAAAGAAGCTACCTGTGCCTCGAGCGCGTCATCTATTCTAGAAATTAAGTAATTAATTGAAATGGTGTCATTTCTATAAGGATATATGTGTGGTGAACGATCGTCAGTGCTATTTGGAATTTGACTTTTTCTAGTCTTCGATAGCGGTTCGCTGGGCTCCACATTTTTATAAAGCGTAAAGTATCGTCGTTAAATATACATCATTGCGCGTTTAATTATATATTATATATTATAAGGGAGAGAATGGGTGGGAGAGAAAGGGAGAGAGAGAAAGAGAGAGATGGGGTTCACCGATCTTATCTCAACAACAAAATATATCCAATAAATTGTAAGAGTCTCGGATTAAAATAAAGAGTCACGATTTGGAGGAGACTAGCGAACGCAACGTCGTTCCGCAAAGATAATCATCCTTCGATCCAAATCCGCTGCGATGAGAAACGACGGATCGCGCGCGAACACGAAGGGAGGATGAAAGAAACCAAAAAAAAAAAAGAAAAAAAAAGAAAAAGAAAGCAAGCGAGAAGAGTTACCAAGCTTGTCAATAATTACGTCCCCTCGTGCCCCGTTTTCTCTCGTATCCTTAATTCATTCGTTATTGCGTGTCTCTTAGAAAGATGTCTAGCTGAAGACTTAAATGAATTATTATTATTATTATCGGTGAAAGAGAGAAGCGTGAAAGAAGGTACCTCTTCGACATTTAATAAGCGTTACATTAATTTAGGGGTGATTGTGCGACGCGCGCCGAGCAAACGCGACGTGTGTTTGGCTGACGAACACGTGGAATTCGTTAGGAAATCAAATTCGTATTGTTCGTGCCACGATTTCCATCAACTTCGGTTGTACTCGTCACCGTGGCTCGTAATTCCGTCGAGAGGAATTACATCAATATCTAGAGAGAGAAAGAGAGAGAGAGTGAGTGAGTGAGTGAGTGAGAATGAAAGAGAGAAAGAGGGAAGCGGGCGAGAGATGAGGTGGATCAATAGTACCTCGCGTATATAGTGTGTGTGCAATTAACAAAGATAAAAAATATATTATGCTGCCGTATTAAAAAAAAAAAGTACGCAAACGATCAAACACAGTTACTGTTGAGGGCACTCAACGTGCGTGTATATCGCTGTATATCTCCTGGTGCCATTCGAATGCGAATCGTGGAACGAACAAGTAGAATAAGAAGCAAATATACATATATGTATATATATATATATATATTTATATTTACATATATATGTATATATGTGTATACGTCTATAAATACAATTTATTGAATCACAATCGCAGATCGAATGGTGTTGCGCTGCGTGTGTCCCGACGTGTGTACATGCGGCTACGTGGGTGACTGTGTTAAATGTGTCGCTAGATTACGAGAAAAATATTTCATTCTCATTCTGTGATGACTGTCTGCTGAATATACGAGAGGCGAAGGGAGAACAAGAGATGTTTACATGGAGTCTTAAGGCTAATGGATTAATCAATTGATTTAGCGAATAAAAATTTAATTAACAGTCGTTGTACTAACTGCGCAAAAGAGCGAGAGTGTATGTGTGGGTGGGAAGGGAGAGATGAATCTTTATAGACGTAAGGAGACGCGTGTGTCTCTCGTTCATACGTGTGTGGAAAAAAAAAAAAAAACATAGACGGACATGATAAATTCGTCGCGCGTAAGACATAGGACTTTAACATGTTAAAAAAAAGAAAGAAGAGACAAAAAACCGAGAACACGCTGTATCCAAGTTGCGGCGGGAAGGAGACAGTATGATTTGTATACTGTATAACTTTAGTCGTTTACCATTGCTTTCGAGAATATATAAGAGTTATGTGTATAAATTATTATGTGTAATTAAACAGAAGTCATTTAGTAAATTCTAAGCGTACATGATATATATATTATAAATACAGAGAAAAAACACAAGACATATATATATATATATATATATATATATAAATATAAATATAAATATTATATATATATATTATAAAGAAATTGCAAGAGCAAAGAGCTGTTGTATCATACGTTTGTGTAAGTAAAATAGTGATGATACAATTATGAGAATTATAACAATAAATACTTACCGTCTTATATAAATAGCAGATGCCTCTGTGGGCAGTCGGCTGTTAGGCTCAATTTTTATAGGATGTATGTGTATATATTTTATCGCACATCATACTTTTTAATGTGCCCGCACAAGAAGGAAACACAAGTTTTCTTTTCTCTTACCGTTATATTTATATTCTTATTACACAATACGCGAGCTTAATACCATGATTTTGTACAAATGCAAAAGAAACTCCAGAACTGTTCATAAATATAAAAAAAGAGAGAGAATAATAGCAATGATACAGAATAATATCAAAAACAATAATTATTAGTTTTCGTAATGTTCATCATATCACAATTTAAATAGATCTCTAAACTATTAGCATTGCGAGACTCGATTAGAATACCAGTCGTTTAATTTTGTCTACTGTGCACTCAACTGCTCCCCCATCACGTGCGTCTTTAAGAACGCTATCTGCGCTTGCGATTCCAGCGCGGCCAGCTCGGACACAATGGGAGCCATTTGTTGCACATGATTTTCGTAACCGGAACCTACGGGATTCAAATCGCTTAATGATTGTGCGCTGTAATATAATGAGAAACAATATCACTTACCCATCGCCATTCTCTTTTCGCCGTATGTAACTTTCCCGTCGAAATCGTTCAGCGGCACTTTTATGTCCGACTCGACTTGTTGAATCGTCACGTTCAAGTGATCCTCGATTTCCGCCAAGTACTATGAGAAATCAATCAATTATCGTTCATTATCAAGTGTAGAATTTGTCTTCGATTGAGTGCAGATTGTATTCGAAACTTACCGTAGGTTCGTTGTACCACGTGCAACAGCCACCCTGGTTGGTCAGATTAGTATTGTAACAGTTCCTTCCGCGCGAGGAACACCACTCGCCGTGATACCATACTTTTTCGGGCACGCTACTGACCAGAGAAATGGCGAGGCCCATTCTCTCGGCTCGGCCGACTCTTCCGATACGGTGCACGTAGTTGGACTTTTCGTCGGGCAAAGTTACGTTTATCACTGTGAAAAGGATTGCAATACGTAATATGTGCTTATAATAATTTACTTCGCCCGATCACTTACTGAAAGGCAGACCGGTAATGTCCAATCCTCTGGCCGCCACGTCAGTGCAGATGAGAAACTTCACCTCCTGGCGCTTGAACTTCTCCAGATTCGCTTTACGCTCCCCGGGCTTCCTGTCTCCGTGTAGGCACACGCACGAGAACTGCTGTGCGCCGCACTGCTTCATAAATCTCTCGAGATTATCGCAATCGAGTTTCGTTCTGCAGAATATCAACGCTCGGTCCATCTTGTGCTCCTTGATAGCGCGGATGCAGTACTCTCCCTTCAACATTTTCACAGCTTCGGACAATGTCTCTGTAAGATAAGTAGATGATTATTGGATTGTATTGTACCTTATTATTTTCATCGCGCAAAAGTGCGTCGCAATTATTTTATCTAACCGGCAGTACTGTTTCCAGGTCTCACGTTGTCTCTCGCGTGGACGCCATCGGTTTCTATGTGATTCCTCATGTTATGCCACGACTTGTCCGTCTGCGGATCCACCATCACTACGACGTGATGCACAGTCTCGGGCACCGCGTCCTCGCCCTTCAGATCCACCCAAGTTGGAAAATGCATCAAACGTTCCTACAAGAAAAAATGTTCAAAAATCAACGCGCCATTTTGTCAATCGCGTCCAACAATAAAGACACATCTCAAGCACTTACGGCCATCTTTTTAACTTCGAATGCATGCAATGTCGCCGAGCACACAATCATCTGCAACCTCTTGCCGTCCGACGTGATTTTCGGAATCTGTTTGTGCAGACGATCGATCAGTTCGGTGTGACCTTGTTTCAATAATCCATCGGCTTCATCCAGCACGAAAAATCTGAACAAGCATGAATTAGTTTCGACATTGTGTTATTTCTTTCAAGTATTACATGATTAATTACCTGCAATGCGTTAACGACAAATAGCCGCCTTGTATAAGATCCTCCAGTCGTCCGGGTGTGCCAACTACTATGTCTACACCAGAATTCAAAATCGCAATCTGTTCCTTCACGTTTACTCCACCGATAACGAGCAGTTCTCTAACTGTTGGATCCATCAGGTGTGTTTTAAACTGAAAAACAATAAAGCCACTTTGTTAATGTCACATATGTACAGTTCTGACAAGTTTTTGTTTCAGATTTTTATTTACCTTCTGAATTTGGTTGTAAGTCTGTTCAGCTAGCTCACGAGAAGGCTCTATAACAATTGCTTGCGGCGCATTATTCGTCGGCTTGCCGCTTTTGCTCGTTTGACTTTGACTGCTGTTAACAGGATTGTATTTGACGGATTCTTTTGGAACTGACGACATGGCCACGTAATCATTTGGAGGCGGATGCTTAAATGGTTGCGCTCCAAAATTGAAAGCCATCTCGGCGTTCTTCAGCACGACTGCCGGAAAGTAGGTTTGCGACTTTTGTTGCGCGTTCAACGTAAACGCGACGCCCAAGTCCCCGCCGTTCTTAGTATATTTTATTTCTCCCTTCACCAGGTCGAGGAAACATCCGATTACATCGTGCATTCCAAAGGCCTCCCCGTAATTGTCGAATTGCTTTGCATTCGATTTCTTTCCTGTGCCACCGAATCCATAACCGAAGTTATCCGTTCCCAAATCCAAGGAAGCCTATTTCGAGAACCAGAATCTTCAATCAGCTCTTCCTTTCCATTATCGTAAGTAAATAAAATTTTAGAGCCATATAAATATAAAATTAGTTATAAAAATACTTGCCTGAGGCGAAGACCAACCAACTCGGCACAAGCCCTCATCAGTAACTGTGGCTTCAAAAAAATATTTACCACTGCCTGATACTCCTTTATTCGCACGACAACCGTGCCATTCCTTTTGCTCTCTACTCTGACATCTCAGACCATCCGGCGTTATTGCCAAGGCCTGTCCTCTGTCAAACAGGCTCAATCCCCAATGTGCAACTATAAAAATAACAAAAATATTCCTATTGCTTTCTGTAAAAGTAAATTTTACAATATAAACTTTTATTTGTCAAAATTAACTGCATACGTTGTTGGACTTGCGAAGTAGCTCCTCCTCCTTTCCCTGACTCAAGATCTTTAAGAGTTTCCCAAACTATTTGCAAAATAGGCAAACAGAAAGCACCAGTTTTTCCGCTGCCAGTTTCTGCAGCCATAAGCACATCTCCACCACCCAAAATCAATGGGATAGCCTCAGATTGAACATCCGTTGGTAGTCTGTAATTTAGAATTTTTTGAAAACAGAAATATTACATGTCACGAAATAATTTTCAAATTGCGCAAAACTTCATATTAATTGAATCTTTACTTACGTCCAATCTAATTCATCGACTGCTTTTGCAATTTCCGGCAAAACACCCATTTCTAAAAAATGAAAAGCAATTAATATCTGATTCTCGCAGAATATGACACAAAATGCAGTAATTATTGCACAAGCTGATGTTATACACAAACTAAAATTACAGCAAATAATTTATCAAAAATATCTTACCTTCGAAAGCAGTCATTTTTCCTCAGTTGTGTTCTCTTTGATATGTATAAAAAATGTCGTAAAAAAATTATATACTAATTAGAATTATATATATATTTTTCCGTAAGAGCGTATGTCAACCGGTATGTTTTCTCCGTCTTTATATCACCTCAAAATTCGAAGTATCTCGATTAGGTTAAATCTTCGATCATGAACTAAAGGATGCATTATAGATAGGTGTTATCTGTGAATCTTCGGCACACTTTCCGCATTTATGGCAGATTTACATTGCTTTCATATGTGATACGATATTCAATAAAAAAATATATCTTTTGTTTTAGACAAATTCCCTATGAAACACATTCTCTTATTGGATATTAATCTTATCTTACTCATTGAACGTTGGCTGCACTGTAATTTCTCTGGTGCGGATCTTTTACCCGGGCGACGCTGAGGAAGAAATAAGCGAAAAGGTAATTGCTCTTAAATTTTCGACAAATCTTTATGAAAATCTTTTCAGAATCACAATTCTTATGGTTTCCTTATGAATAAAAAAGGTTAATTATTGATAATAATATAGATAATATTTGTTTTCCGCTATAATTTTATGTAAATGCAAAAGAAGTTCAGAGCTCTTCCATAAGAGGTTAAAGTGCGCATCTTCTAATAATTTAAAAAAAGTTGTCAAAATTATCAATTTCGGCAAAAAATAATGCGAATTATGATTCCGATGCTCTGCAGGCGCGTCGTTAGAGTAATTATTCATAATTCGGTAATTCATGATTAGGCATAATTCGTTGAGAAATCAACTTTCAGACTGAAGTTAGTTCCGAAGTAAAATTTAAATTAATTTGAACTGGGAGATTGAATTCTCTGAGATATTGAAACAGGAGAACATAACGCCAAATAAATTTTGAAGCGTTGCGGATTTTTAAATATAATTTTTGGCATTTGAAAATATTGCAACTTTTATACACATCGATATTGAATTGGTCGCGCATCGTTTCGAATTACGGGATAAACGCGAGAAAGGAGAATTGTTTCAACGCGCATGCGTAACTTTCAGTAACTTTTCTAGACATAAAGATGTACACAGCGTCGTATACACTTGATAAATAAAATGTTTTTATAACGTAACAAGTGTAAATAAGTGATATTCGCGGGTAGAAATTTGATAAAATCGAAAATGTACTTGAAGAGATGATATTGAGCAACGTTTGAACAAAAGACAGACCGGCAAAATGACACCTAAACGAAAGGCAAGTATATTTGTAGGTTATAACATTATTGGACTTGCTATAACACGAAGTTATGTTAACACGAAGTTATGTTAACACGAAGTTTGTGCAACTTCTCGATGTTGCTTTTATTCGCCATTTTAATAAATGCGTTTCTTCCATTTGGACGTATTTTTCGCATTATATTTTCTTCTTCTTTCGTCTCTCAAAAAGTCAGAATATATGTTTGTTTCCTTTTAAATACAGAAAGCGCTGGAATTTGTGTTGAAATTACAATAAATTTTTGAATATGCATATTTAATTCTTACGCAATCGATCATTTTTTGTTTCAAAAGCTAACAAGTATACAATCCAATACTATACTTTATAGACAACCAGTTCAGAATCTACATCAACAAGTAGCTCAGGTTCCTCCTCGAGTAGCTCGTCGAGTTCGGGCAGTGAATCCAGTTCGTCAGATTCCGAGAATTCCAGCAGCTCTGCCAATAGCCAAAAGGTGTCCGATGCAGAAAGAACTAAGAAGAAGGTGCCATTTCCAGTAACTCGCCATGTCAAATCCAAGGCTGAAACTACTTCTGTACCACCCGTGGAGAATAAAAATAAAGACAGACAGCCACCGAAGCCGAGATCAGCAGTGTATTCTTCTGAATCCGAAGAATCACCCAGCAAAGCAAAATCACCGCAAAAGAGGAAGCCACCAGCTAAGCCGAAAGCTACTGCTACTGTTGCACCAGTTGTTAAGCCGCAGAGATCTCTTACAAAACCAGCACCAGCATCAGTACAGCATAAAGCTACACCAGCTTCAAAATCAGCCAATGCCAAAACTAATAAATTTTCTGGTATGTTTATAACTTCAATATTGAAATCAATTATTCTTCTATATTTTGTGATAAATGTTATTTTATATTCTATAATATAAAATATAAGTTTTTATTTCTAGTTTATATAAATATAAAATTTTATTTCTAATTTATATAAAACAATGCAATAATTGATAATTTTTTAGGTGCCGCAGTCAACAGCAAGACTCCTGAAAAATCTGGCAAGATATCAGAACCTGTGCAGAAAAAATTAAAAAAGAAAAGTATATTCAGCCCGGAAAACAGTAGCGAAAGTGACAGTGGCATCTCAGCAAAAGTTAGTGCGGTGAAGCCAACAAGTGGTTCCGCAAAAACCTCAAAAAATCCACCAGCTAAAGTGAAGTTAAATGACACCAAGCAAAAGTCTGCAGCAACAAGCAGAGCTGGTAAATAATTTTATCACGTATTAATAATCACAAAAATCTTTTATTTACAAAAATTTGAGAACAGTTTCTGACATTATTACTTTACAGTTGCAAAACCCGCGCAACCACAGAAGTCGGACAGTTCAGCAAGTTCGAAGAGTTCCGGTGGTTCGGCGTCCTCGGGGAGCACAGAAAGCAGCAGCGAATCAGAATCGTCCGAAAGTGTCACCACCTCTCAGCCTCAACCGAAAAAGAAGGAGACGCAATCCAGCAATACACTGGCAAGCAGCAATACGGCAAATGTGCCACCTAAAAGACCCTCGGCAGCGGTTGCTCCAGTAAAGCCACAAAAAACAGTTCCAAAACGTCAAGGTTTGTCAACATAATTTCTTGTTAATATTTTGACGCGTTCATGTATGGCGTTGAAGAAGGATAAAACAATGTTACATTCGAACAGGCCCTGTAAAGAGTGACAACGATGGAGATGCGTCTGCGAGTGATAAAGAGATGGACGAGCAGGAAGCACCGCCTGCGAAAACTGCAGTAAAAGGCAAACGGAAGCTGCAAACGCGCAAAGGAAGTAAATTACTTCAACTGCAGGCGAAAGCGGCTAGCGATTCCGAATCTGACACAGGTACCAATAATTAAGGCAACTTTAAACTCGATGAAAATCTCACGCGCTAATTTATATTTCTCTCATTTACTGTGTTTTGTTTTTACTCTATCTTGAATCTCTATCCTTGAATTTCTTTATTCTTCGCAATGAACTTCTGTAAGTTGTATAAGTTGTAGACTTAGATATTATGTTTATTTCGTTCAAATTATTATGTATGATCATTTTTCTCTCTCGACTTAGCATGAGCGTCTGAGTGGGAAAGAATCAATGTATTTTCTGCGGGTCTTGGGAGTTTATACTGCCTCCTTGATACAAAAAAAGGAGTATTTTATTATGAATGAATGCATTGGACAATATATATGCATATTGTAAATTGTAGAATTTTCACGGTCACTTGAACTAACGTTTTGTGAACAAAACAAAAAGAGGTGTTTTAATAGTTTGAGGGTCAAAGGTAGTTGCAAGAATGCGAGAGAAATGCCAAACAGCGCAGTCGCGCTTCTTTTTATGTCGACAGATTTCAACAAGTTTTATCGCGCTTTTTTTTTATTTTGCAATATTATATTGTTTAATATAATATTTGATAGTTCTTAGAGTTCTGAAAAGCTTAATGTATTTTCTATTTTATACACATAACTGAAAGAATTAGTCGACTTCTACAGCGCTCCTTGGCACTTTTCATCGCAAAACAGAAGAGCCGCATCTTGGCACGCGAGCAGTTAAGATACAATTTTTTACGATGGCAGTATGATTCTTAGGTACAAAAACAATAGTGTGTAAACGTATTCCGCAAATAGTGCTGAGTCGTTGTGATTTGTCGAGAGTAGCCGAGAGCAAGAGGAGCACCAGCAAGTCGCCTGTTAAACGCGCCGGACCGTCCACCGCCGTCAGACAAGCCTCCGGAGCCGGCAGATCAACACAGAGTATCACTTCTAATACCATCAGCACCAGGACGAGCCAGGCTGCTTACAATCGGGCGCGCGCGACGAAGGAGCGAGAATGTCCACTAGCTGCGTCCTGCGATTCGCGAGGTCATCTCTCCGGAAAACTCGACTCGCACTTCACCCTGGAAGCATGTCCGCTGTATCACAACACCACGCCGCAGGCTTGCGTGTAAGTTGAACCTCCAAGATGGATTCTGAAAAAGAATGAATGTTAGAAATTAACGTCATCTTGAAATCAGTTGAAAAGACATTTGGTAGCTGTTGTTTGTCGCACTATATAAAGGAAACAACATGGGCTTTTCAGAGAGTTTCACAAGGAGAGGAAAAAGCGGGAGGAGGAGCGCAAGAAGGCGATAGCGAATCTGGCTAAGAAGCCCAAGGGTGTTCATCAAACTACCGAGCAACGTAATTACCAACTTAAAGTACGAGAGATGAGGAACAAATCGAAAAGTAATATCGGTGACGGTAACGAGAGCGACAGTGGCGGCGAGCTGCAGGGGAACGAGAAGGACAAGCAGCCTCGGTTGAATAATCTCACGCCTGACTACGATTTGAAGCTGTTCATGGAAGCCCAGGCGATAGCCAGTGAAAAAATCGTAAGCATCCAGCTTTATGTAATCAATGGATGTAATTAATTTTGATGTTGTCATTTTAAACACATTACATTCTACTTGTAAATATCTTTTTTGCTTAAGGAGAAGGAATTGCGAGAACTCGACTACGACGGTGAAGGCAGAAATGGCGGTGGTACGCGAGTCGTCGAAATGGGAAAATGGGAAATGGAGGTTTGGTATCAAAGCCCGTATCCCGAGGAATATAGCCGCGCTCCAAAGCTTTATCTTTGCGAATACTGCTTGCGGTATGCGAAAAGCCGTCAAGTCTTGAGGAGACATAGAGAGAAATGCTTGTGGAGGCATCCGCCAGGACATGAAGTGTACAGGTAAGCGTATTCCATTCTCGGTATATCACTTTCTATGTAGACTCCTCTTATTTACAGTCAAGGCAAAATAACAAAGTAATTTGGAAACTATATCAATGGACTATCGATTACTTTTATTCAAAAAAGATTAATAATGACACTATTCTTTATAGTATTTTAAATTGTATTTGCAAAATTTTTGCTAAAGTAATATATTTTTAGTTTGAAAAATCTAGTTTGACAATCTAAACTATTATGCATTTGTCACAGAAAGGACAAACTCGGCGTATGGGAAGTGGACGGCAAACGATACAAGCAGTACTGTCAGAATCTCTGCTTGCTGGCGAAATTCTTCTTGGATCACAAAACGTTGTACTACGACGTCGAGCCGTTCCTCTTCTACGTCATGACGATCGGCGACGCCGAGGGCTGCCACACCGTCGGATACTTCAGCAAAGTGAGTACCGTTTCTTGTTACCATCAATTACGTTTCCATTTACATTCACGCTCGCAACGCGTTGAACTCGATGAACCTTGTTGCTTGGCGAGAGCAGAGGCGAAATATGCATCCAGAAATACCGTTTCGTAAAAACGTCACGATGTAGCGTATATTACTCGCAAGAATTTCCCGGTCGATTGAAGCGTTAAACGCGGCCGTTAAAACGTTATATATGATCTTCGCGCGGGACAGATTTAGCGCTAAATGCGGGACACGAATATGGCCCGTGGCGAACAGCTGAGCCGCCGAATCGTCGAAAAATAAGATCAAGCGCAGCGTAAAAGAATCCTTCGCCGTCCGCGTTCCTCATTCGCTCCGCATAAAATTGAATCTCGGCTCGGCCATGGGGAATGCATTAATGCCCCGCACGTGTGTTTATTGCCACGGTCGCGCGTGTATGTATAGCTGGCATTTGCGTAAACGGGGCCGTTTGTGCGGTTCTTGTAAATATTGCCATAATTGTTCGCTTCGTAATAAAATGCAAACAAATCTTGACGTAATCGCATTAAATTCGTCATTGCAAAATTTATTATATCGTTCCGGCGGTATTGATTCTTGTATTTGATTTCACCCAGGCGTCGATCTTGATCATTTTTCTGCCATTACGGTATATTTTCTAAACCACGCGCCGTCGCCGGAAAGAAGAAGAAAAAGTTCTGTTATGTCAACTCTCGTAACATGATTTTTCCATCGTGCAGAATAACATCGGTCTAGCGAATCACTAATTAGTGGATTCTCAATTTTGAACAAGTGGATCATTATTTATTTTCGATCACAGGAAAGCGATTCAACTATTTTATTTTAAATTATTCGTTTTTTTTTTTTTTAATTGTTTATTCAAAGTCTCTCTTGTTTAAAGATCTAAAGTAAAATTAAAGGGAAGGAAGATACTTTGCAGCTGTACCGTCGTTATTCACCGAGTGTCGAAATTGCAATCGTAAGAATGCAATTTCCCGTAACGAGCCATTCGCACCAAGTCCCGACGGCCTCGAAACTGTTCGTCAATCCGCGCACGATGGAGCCGACGAGTTCCATTGTCGGCCTACGCGATTCCGGGTCTTTCTTTCGCGGCTTAGCCGGCTCGTAATGGCATTCACGTAGCGTGCAGGGATTACGCGAACAAGGGTGCGCGCCTCGTAGTGAAGGGGGTGTCTCGTATCTCTGACCTTTCTCCATCACCGTCGCCTCCGCCCCCATCCCCTCCCCTCCCCTCCCCCGCCGTTCCGCCCGCGTCGGTCGGGTCGGGACGTACGAATACACGTTGCCGCGAGGCGAGGGTGGGAGACACGCGCGTATTTACCGCGTAGCGCAGCATCGCCGGGAGTCGAAATCTTTGCCGACGTTCAACGACCTCTGACCCTGGCGCTGGCAAGACGCGCCGCCGTTCCCTCTCGCCCCTCCGCGTGAGGACGCGGTGAAAATTTCCTCGACTTAAACCTTCCCTCGCGCCCACCCTAATTTCTTTGTCTTTCGCCGAGACGTCTCGCCCCCCTCCGATCCGTCTCGAAACCTTTCTTCTTCTTCTCCCCCTTCCCTCTTTTTTTTCTCCCTGTCCGAAAAATCTCCGCCCGGGCACACGGAGAGATGAGAAAGGGGGATCATCCGTTGTGCAAATTGTTAGCATCTTGGCGGAACGTTTTGTCAGACTTTTAACACTTGCCCGAGTTCGACTGACTTTGGCTTTATTTATTCGCGCGAATGCGGTGTGCCCCACTTGCACCGCATTATTTTGCAAATGGCGAGCTCCTTGATGAATTTCGCGTCGACTTCTCCACGGTGGAAATGTCAAAGTACTTATAAGCACTCTTGAAACATTTACAGCTTTAATTAGCCAACTCCAAATTGACGGACTTCGCGGAGTTAGCGTCATTAAAGAATAACGCAACAGAAGTGGGACGCTCTATATATAGAGTAGTTTGTCATCGGCTTTCTTTCAATCGTCCTTTTCGGTCTGACATTTTGCTTTTTTTTTTCGCAGCACCGGCTGCACATTTAATCGCGAAAATTTCGGCACAGTTGCACATTTAATCGCGTGCGGTGGAAAAATTAATAACGCCCGATCGATCGTCCTACCGCAAACTTTTATTCCGGACTCGCACGGAGTTATATATAGCCGATCGACGATGCAGGTTGTCACGCTTGACTTTGATAGCGCAAATTGCACGAAACAGCCGGTCTTTATCGTTACTGTCGGGGGTGTCAAATTGCGTTACGTCTCGCGTAAAAGAGGGCGTGTTCCGCTCGTGAAATATTTAGTTAAGTTCCCGAAGTATTCCCTTCGCTCGAAATTACATCACGGCGTACGTGAGCTCTCCATAAATCCCCGTGCACCAGACACGTACTTTGGAGGTGGTTCAAAATAGCGTATCGGTTTCGAAATGTTTGTTAATTTCAATCAAAGATACGCGCGCGAGCACAAATAGTTGCGTATTCGAGAAGATTTTTCCCATCTTCGAAATTAAATGGTATATCGATAAATGGCACGCTAAGAAAGACAGCAATGTCGTTTTTAGCATTCATTTATAATTTTTATATTTTGTATTGTCATTTATTTACTAGTTCAAAATATATTTGAAAGAGTAATTAAAAAGAAAAGCATTGAAACATCCTAAATTTACTAGCAGTTTCTACGGATTTAAAACAAAATATTTCGTTTCAATAATGTCGCTGTTGTGCGATCAAGCTTTCTCGCGATTTTTTATTTTGAAAAATGGAGCATTTCGAACGGTCACTTTGTGAAAAATCATTGTTCAAAAGCAAATAGTGCACGACGATAAAGAAATTGCAAGTAAATATTGAAAGCAGCCGGATCCCTTTAAGCTCGGGATACAGTGAGCGATTCCTAGCTCGTATTCTGCTTCTTTAACTGTTTACCATATTGCACGGTGCACGAAATTGCAAATGGAGTTTTATGCCGAACTCCGGCGCGGATTATCGCCGCGAGCGGGCTTAATCGGGAACAACGCCCTCATATCAATACCTCGGGATCCGGGACAAGCGGTGTAATTCCGGACACACGTTACGCGCGCCGAGATATACGTATCCGTTTACCCGCGAAAATAGCACTCTGTGTGACATTGATTCTCGTTCCGGGGTATTAATATCGGCGGATCGCCGTCCCCTCGAGCCGCGGCCGACCGGGTTCGGACCGACGCGGCCGGCAAATTATGTTACACTCTGTATAAAAGGGCGTAACTCGCTCTTCCTGCATCCGCAGCGGCGGCGGCGGCGGCGGCGGTGACGCGAAGTCAAAATCTTTATAAACGTTCAATGACCCCGACCCTGGCCAGACGGTCGCAGGGTAACGCTGGTGCTGGTGGTGGTGGCGACGGCCGGGACTACGAGGGATGAAGGGTACGAGAGAA